AAAAAGATGTAATTTTTAATGAATATTCCCTTGTCAAGTTCTGCTGGCCTCAATGTTCTGGCTTTTAAGGCCTCTAGTGAATTGTTGGTCAGGCAAAAAATACATTTGAAACCTAGAAAAATTTTCACAGTTATAATAATAATGATACTGTTTATAAATAGGATCACAGTCATAATTTTAATAACAATGATAGCAGATCAAATGAACGATGATTTTTAAAAAAAACAACTCCTGGCATGATAATGAATTTACTTTTCATATCGGGATTTAATCTGCATAAAGAAGATCCCATCTCTTACGTCACGTTCAAAATGGATGATATTATTCATATTCTCAGGCGTTCTTTCCATCAATCAAGACACTTCTTGAAACTCTTGATTATATTGCGGGGATAAACTCCTTCAACTCTTCTTTAATCTTGGCGTAAAGAAGATGGACTTTAATTGACATACCATCTCATCGACCGTAAACTCAACATTTACAAACATACATGGCATTAAGAGCTAAACTAAAATGTAAAAACTGCTAGTGTTCTGGTGAAAAGCCGCTTCTCGAAAGAGCTGAAAGTGCCCCGGTATTATAGAGGGAGAAGTGAGCACCCTAAACGAAGCGCCGACCCCGCTCATTTGACTAATATTCTGCAGACGCAGCTGAGAACTGAGGAATTTATTCTTACCTACCTTATGGGTATCATCTGCTAGAGAGATCTTAGCTCCTTCGGCGTATACGAGGGCGTACCCCTAGGGTGCGTACTGCAAGGTGGCTTGGAGGCTTGGACGTGCGTGGCCCATTTTTCCGCGATTTGGGGTGCGTTAAACTTAAAGAAATATTACTCTCTTCGTCTTCGGTTTCGTCTTTTTCATCGTCGATGCCAGTTTCTGGTTTGTTTTTGTAGAGGTCATCGTCTTCAACATTCCAATTTAAGTCCCTTTAAATGAGAAAAATACAGTAAGTTTACATGTTCAGCTGCTAAGAGATCATAAACAGTTTATAAATTCTCGCAGCTGTCCCATCCTTTTCAGCCATTCTACAAACAATTTGGTCAGATGAAGCCCGAGTACTGTCAGGTTTTCTCCATGCTGAAGGCAATTGATTAAGCCAGTCACCAGTTCAAAGCGCCACTATATTGGGATGTTGCAGTACCGTGCAAAACTAATCCAATCCAAACGATGATTGCCCGGTAATCACGATATTTCAGCTATAATTGAAAGATATTTCGCCTGGAATACTAAATATATCGGCGAAATATCGCAGGACTATTGTTTTAACGGCCGCTACAAATCACCGATATATCCTTGAGCTCCTTGCAAACAATCGTTTACTCTTAGCAATATATCCTTTAAGCCAAATGCTATATCGTCTCAGCTCAACGATATATCGTTTACACTGAGCGATATGTCGTTTCCGGCCAGCTAGATATCGCCAAACATTAGATCGGTGAGGCAAAATTGCATTCTTCGTCGAACTTTCCATTAGACTTGCTTTGCCGAATGTTTATCAAAGGCACGAGAAGTCATCTCTTAAAGACGCATAGTTTTGAATTTACGGCGGTTTCGCAACACGTTCGCTACACCGTGGCACGTTCGCTGCACATATGCGTGCTCGCTACATTAGCTAACCAAGTTGGTCACCGCATAAAGAATGAAAAATTACAAGAAAGACTATTTCAACACTTTGTTTACAGGCTGGATAGAACTAATGCGAAATTAAAATCTATTGACACCTAGCCTCGGGAGCGTAAACAATGTCAGTGGAGCCTCGTTTAGTTAACTATCATTCTAAACTTACATGAATTTGAAAATTACCGAAGAAAATCATGATTGTATAGGTTTTAAAAAGTAAAGCTTAATTTAGTACATAGATAAAATCCTAATATTCAACAAAGGCCGTCATTATCGTTGTTTCAAATGGATCGTGGCACTTGCTAGCGAACTTCCGTGTTGAAAGTAATAAAGGGACTTTCTCACTCTCTCTGTTGTAATTTAAACAGGTATTCAGTGAAATTAAACGTTGGTATGGAACTGAGTTTACTGATGTGGCAAACACGATGTTCGAGGTAGCGAACGTGTATCGCATTCGAAAGTTGCGAACTCGAAAAGTAGCGAAACCAGCTGTTTATTATAATGAAAAAGAGAAAAGACAGAGCTTGTGAGAAAAGTACTCCGCAACGGTGCAAACCTTTCTCTTTGTGCGGTTTATATAGTTGACTAATCCTCAAAAGGATTGTATGGATTGAAGACAAGCATGAATTGTCCCATTTGAGTGAACAGTAGTATATAGACTATTAAGATTTTTCA